ACTTGAAAATTTTTCTCTTTTATACGAAGGAAAACTAGTATGAGTTTTATAAAAAGAATGCATACTTATAAATTATTCAAGCACTCATAGAGGTTAAAAAAATTCAAATGCCACTGCTCATAAATAATTAGCTTCCATATTAGGAGGATATCATATCTTCTCATGCATGTGTTCCACAAAGACTAAATAGATATATTGAAATATTTTTATAAATATGTGATTGTTTTATATATGCTATTTGTAATGTTACTGCTTTAATTTCATTTGTATTTGAAACTTGAAAAAGAAATCCAAAGGAACCTGAAAGAATTATACAATTTCAAATAAACATTTATTCACCTCAAGCGAGTATTTTTTAAAGATCCTTCTACAATTACAAAAAGAGACTTTGGAGGAAAAAACACTGAGATTAATTGTTTTTACCTTCTATTCGTCAATTTAGACATTATCATTTGACTCCCTGATATGAACGATGAGGACATTAAATCCAGAACCTTCTTTTTCCATCCCCCACATCTTCACATACTACATTAACATTTTTATATAAATAATATTTATATTTTAGTTTATATCTGTAATTTGTAAAGTGTTTTACATTATTTCAGATGTTTCCAAATCTTACCACAGCTTCTCCACTCCTGAAATCTTCATTTTGATTTACAGAAATTTAACTTTGAATAAGACCTTTATCCCTCTCAGCTCATATCTATTTCTTGAATGTTTTTATTCTCAAAAGTGCTTATTTTTAACAAGATCTCCCCTTGAACTCTAACTTGTGACTTATTTTTTTCTGGAATCTATAAATTTTCCCCAAGGCTTAGAGAAATTAAAAGATTTTACCCAATGTCACACAGCTAATGTGCAAAGTCAGGATGCTCATTTCTAAGCTCACCCTGTTGTCATCTGTCCATATCCACTACCCTCATTCATTTATACACTTGCTCATTATCCATGACACCTATGTAACTCTGTATCTATCCGTCTGTTAACACCCATCCATCCATCAAACATCTACCTACCTACTTCTTCATTATTCCCCTCACACACATATGATGTAAACTTACATACGCACATATGTAACCATTCATCTATCCAGACATTCCATCTATTCCATCTATCAATCCACCCATCATCCTTCCATTCAACTATCTATCCATTCATCTACATTTGTTTACACCAACATCAATATACATACATAGATTCACTTATCCAGGCATTCATCTACCTATCTACTCACCCACAAAGCCACCCATTCAAAATCCATTCTATTTCCATTCCATTGGATTTCTCATGGATCCTTTCTCCTTTCTATTAATTCATCTACTCATCCAATCAGTTTACCAATTTACCCAATCACTGATAACTCTGAAACCCAGTCCTTCCATAGAATAGGGAGTGGTCTCCTTCTAACATTCTCTTCTAATCTCATTCCACTTCCCAACCATCAGGAGACCACCGCAGCCTTCCATGAGCACAATAAGGTCTGTGAGCTCATACCCTTATGGTCTCTCACTCATATAAAAATTCTTGCTACAGAGACTATGGGTCTTATGGTATCCTATTAAACATAGAGCCCTCTGTTAACAATCTCCCCAATTACTGAAACTTCTAATCTTACAGTAACCAATCCCCTCTTTATTGAAGATTCATCAGCAAAGAGCACAAGGCAGAAATTTGGCTCATATTTGGACTCCTTTGACTTCTTCCATCATTGGCCTGATACTTTTATTATGGGCACATCGACCCACTCACTGCTTAGCTCGCAAGCCATCCAGCCAGCACTGAACGTGACTTGTCCATTTATACATGCAGTAGTTTAACATATACATTCCCAACCCCTACTGGGAGTTCAACAGCCCAGAAGCTCCGCTTCAATGGACCTCAGTAAGAACTTGAGTGAGAGACAGCTCAGTTTCTCACTCAGGTGAGTGGTTCACAGCTAGAATGATTGGATCAAGGCTATTCATGAAAAATACAAGTCAAAAGAAATGAAGAGGAAAGAGTATAGAAACAAAAATAAAGTTTAAAGACTCTTGCAGAGTAATTTGCAAAGTAGAGATAAGGAAACTATAATCAAACCTAGCATTAAAAAGAAAAGGAGAAAGAAGAAGAAGAAGGAAGAAAACATAACAATAATGATAAGGAGTGAAAGGAGGAGAAAGGGAGATACTAGTGCTAATAGCAAGTTAGCCCTGTTTTCTGGTTGCCTCCAAAAAAGACAACCCCAATGATAGAGAAATTACAAAAATGAGACGGAGGAACTAATATAAAAACTATAACCCCTGAGAAGACTAAAGCTGGGGTGAAAAGTTAGGAGCAGTCTGAGGTGAGAGTGGCAGGTACAGAGGTGGGAAAAAAGGATCATGGAGAGATTTTAAGTTCTGTTTATTCCTCTCTCCCATGTTTCCCAGGGACGATGACTCTGTTACTGAGGGAAAAAAAATCAGTGATGTTTGCTTGGCTGCTCAGGAATGTCAGGGTAATATCAGAGCCACGCTGAGATGAGATTCTGATAATAACCAATGCAAGCTAACGAGATGCCCAGCATTTACTCTTCCATCCCATTCTCCTCCAAACCCTCATGGATGGCAGAAAGTCATTTCAAAGACAGTGGATGATCTCTTCATGAATGGTGACTGACCATTCTAAAGGTCTGGTCTCCTTTCAGAGCTGTTTTGCTTTTTTCTCCAAAGAATTTAAAGAGAAATCCTGGACTAGAGAAATTCCTCTGTGAAATGAAAGCAAAGTGATGTTGAGTAGCAATTTTGAAGCACCTAAGGCTCTCCATCCTGGGGCTCATCCACACTCTTTCCTTCATAATCACCTGGAGGGACAAAAACAGACGTTCATCGTATCCTTTACCCATTATCAGACTGAGTAGCTGGTAACCACAGAGAAACGAGCTTACAAAGCAAAATCGGTAGAGACCTGAGGAGAAAAACAACTATAAAATATATACAACCAGCTAAACACAATGCACACCACAGACAGATCAAGAGTAAAATAACTATAATAAATATAACAAATATATTCAAAGATATGAGAGAATGTTGATAAAATGAAGAAGGAACAAGAAGCAATAATAATAAGCCCTGTGCCTCTTCTGATAGAAGAATGGGTAATTCATTCAGGGCCTCAAGAAAAACTAGGCACAGTATTAAAAATATATACTTGAAGATATTGCAAAAAGAACAAAGTAGTCAAGAAATAGTGGGCCTAGATCTTGGAGAAAATGGGAATCCGGAAAGGGGTGCTCAACATTTGGACGGCATCTGCCCTTGGAGCATTTACTAATTCTGGACAAATCAGCTGAGAGCCTGACCAGTGTTTTAGTCCATCTCAAAGGAATGGTGTAAAAAATGAAGAGACTAGGACTCATCAAAGGAGAAAGCCTCATGCTGGGATGAGAACCCAAAAAACTACAGCATAGTAATAAGTTTGGGCTGCAAGCAGACCTGCTCTCACAGAGATTTCAGTCCAGCTTTAAGCCATCTCAATCTCTGAAATTGGATTAAGGAAATCCAATTTGCTCGGATTTCCTCACGCCTCCTGGCATGACCAATTCCAAACCTTCCTTGGAGAAAGAGACCACCCTAGGCTTCCAAAAATGCAAATGAAAACTACTATGAGAAATCACTACAAAACAACCAGATTACCTAAAATTAAAAGACTGAGAATATTAAGTGTGGACAAAGATGTGAAACATTGGAACTCTCATATACCACTGATGCTTGGTACAACTACTTCGGAAAGGTGGAAGTATCTGCTAAATCTGAAAATATACATACTCTATGATTTAGCAATTCCACACTTAGGTGTAGACCTAGAAGAAGTATACGTATATATTTGGTACATATATTCACTCAAAAAAATATGTACAAGAATTTTCGTAACAGTAATATCTGCAATAACCAAACACTGGAAACGACTGAAATGTCCCTCTGCAATAGATAGATAGATAGACTGATATATACACACAATGGAACACCATACCGCAGTGAAAATGAACAGCTCTTAAAAAACAAACAAACAAACCCCCCAAAATAACGAGACCACACGGAGGCAGGACAGTAATAGGCAGTTTTGTAAACCCTCGATTAGATTAATCAGAATGCCACAGGATGAGTCTGGGAGTGCTTCTAACGCTTGGCATCTGCTCCTTGCCCTTGCCTGCTCAGGACTATTCTGTGTGCCTAAATGGGTCAGGTGAATTAGAGGCAAATGGGAGGTCACTGTCCTGTCCTCCGAGAGCTCATTGTCCAGATACAACTAATTGTTAGGGCAAGGAGTGGTGTTGTCAACCCTGTGGCCCCAGGGTCAAGGAATCCAGGCCATTGTCCTGGAGATGGCCATGCTGACATTCGGGTTTCACTGCTCCTTCTCTCCTATGGGGCAGCAAATTTAGGATAAAACGATCCGTAGAAGAGGTTGGTTTGAGGTAGGTGCGCCCATACTGGTGCCTCCTCTCTTGCGGGCCAGGTCTGCTGGAACACCTATGGCCCCACAGAGGCGCCCAGAGAAGCGATCTGGGCCTAGAGAGAGGGGAGGAGGGTGCCAGAGACCACAAGGGGTGACAGTAGAGCCCTCTGCACACACACGGTCCACCACACCCTGGCTCCCCCACGCCTCCCCCGTCCCCTCCACACACACCTCCTTTCCTTTCCGCCCTCTTGGAAGGCTGCGCTGTGCATCAGTGTCGCGGGAGGGGGAGGAAACGAGTGACATTTAGGTTTAAAGACCAGAAACAAATGTCCCCCGACAGTTTAATGTTATTTTTCTGGATTCAAAGGAGGGGTAGAGTGGTGAAGACAGACGTAGAGGGCCAACGAATGACGGCCCGATTTCGGGCCCGATCGAGGCATGGCGAGGCGGTTCTCTCTCCCGTCCGGGTGCGGCCTCCGGGTGGGCGGACGGACGCCCCCCAGCCCGCAGCGCCGCGGGCCCCGCATGACATCAGAGGCTGGGGAGCGCGCAGAGCGCAGGCGCCGGCGGAGGAGGGAGGCGGGAGGGGGGCGAGCGGCGCGGCTCGGGAGAGCGCTCCTCCGCCCCGCGCGCGGTCCCTGCGCCCCGCTCCGCCCGCACCGCTCTGTCCGCGCCGCGCTCTGGCGTCCACAGCGCGCTCCTCGCTCCGCAGCTAGCGCCGCCCGCGGCAGCTCAGCCCAGCCTTCCTCCTCCTCCTCCTCCTTTCCCTCCTCCTCTTTCTCCTCCGCCGCCGGACACGCAGCCGCAGGCCGGGGCCGGGACGCAGCTGGGGAGGCAGGGACGCGCGCAGCCAGCCCTTCCCCCTCCGGCTCCCGCACCGCTGGCCGCCTCCCCTTGCCCTCCTCCTCTTCCCTCCCTGCTCCTTCGCTTCTCCTCCTCCTCCTTTCCCGGCCCTGGCTGCCAGCACCATGTCCGCAGGGGGAGATTTTGGGAACCCACTGAGAAAATTCAAGTTGGTGTTCCTGGGGGAGCAGAGCGGTAAGTACCTCTCTGGTTCTCTTGGCTTGGCTCCGAGTCGACCCCCGCCGCCAAATCACCCACCCCCTTGGGACCCCGGGCCTTGGCTCGGAAAGGCCCCTCCATGCCGGGGTAGAGAGGAGGGGTGGGCATGTGGAGGTCGGCTTGGGCCGGCTCGGGCGGGGCCGGGTAGGGGAAGGGCCAAGGGGAAGGGCCGAGAAGGCTCTGGGGCTAGAGGTGGGGGTGCGGGTGAGATCTGGGGTGCGGGTGCAGGTGCGGCGGGTCGGGGAGGCTGGAGGGCGGCGGCTTGCTCGGCGGCGCAGGCCGAGGCGTGAAGGCGCCGGGCTCGCTGGCTCGCTCGCACTGCGGCACCGGCTGCGGGCGACCGCGCAGGTGGTGGGGCGCTGGCGGGGGTCGAGGGGAGGACAGACGCCCCTCTTTGGAGAACAAGGTGCGGCCAGTGTCTGGCCGCCCCCCCCCATCCCAATGCACCCGAGGGTTCCTTGCGGACCCTGCCTGCAACCATGCGTAATTTCTGGCACGTCCAGGTCCTGGGGCAGACGGCCGCGGGTGGGGGCGGGGTGCTAAGACGGACACCTGTCTCTTCTGGAAGGAGCGAGTCCCGGCTGTGGGAGGAACAGGGCGCTATCTCCGGTTTTACGTCCTCAGACTACTCCCCTGGGCACAGAAGGTTCTAGACCCGCTGTCCTTCACCGGCATGTGTTAGCCTCATTGGGGCTCAGGAGTTAGAACGATGACAGCTAGGGTTCCCCAGTTGAGGTAGATTTTGGGGATGGTACAGGAGCGCCTTGCACCAAGAGGCCACCGTGAAGCCTGGCGCTGGACAGAGAAAGGACCAGGTGACACGCCCTGCTTCGCTTCCCAGCACCCCTCCCTAGAGCACGTGGGCAGCGGTTCTTCCCACCCCCACCTCCCAGCTCAAGGCCCTTCTTGGGGGAGGGGAGGTCATCGTGGCAGCCGGCCAGGGGCGGGGGGAGGGGGACAGAAGCGGCTTCCCTGATGCTAGCAGCCTCTCTGGGGAAAACATTCGAAACCCAGGTTAGTCCCAAGGTGGGAAGACCAGATTGAAGAGCATGGACCCCTGTGACACCTGTAGGAAGGAATGTTTCTTAGAGCATTCTTCTTCCAGAGGCGTCTCTCCCTGGGGCTGCAGGGAGACAACTGGACCCGGCCCACCTCTGCTCAGGGGGAAGGCATTCCCTTGGGGCAGGACTTCCAGCTCTAGCTCTACAGACCAGTCCAGTTCACAGGGTTTGGTGCCTTTCTGTACAAGGGACCAAGACACAGGCAACGTTGGGAGAACCCGGTGGGCCCAAGGAACAGTGCTGCTGTGGTGTATGTACATGTGGGTTGTGGCGGTCACATGGCAGTCTCCCCTCTGCTGCTGCCCATCACCTGGAATGGATGGTGCAGAAAAGGGTATCAGAAGGTGGCCAGGCCCTGAGATGGTGATGGGTCTTGGGGCCAGGCTGGGCATTTCAGAACAAGAGCACATCAGCCAGCCGCCCTGTGTCCTGGACTCTGAGTTTCTGATCTTAATAGATTCCAGTTTCAAAGCTCACTGTTCCCCATGCCCCAAGGGATTTCAGGGGTCTTCACATCCCAGTGCTAAGTCTCTCTGTGCCTGGAGCCCTGGGAGAGAACCCTGCAGGGATCAGGCAGCCTGGGCGTTGAATTCCTAGTGTGTGGCCTTGAGCAGATTTCGAGGCCTTGCTGAGCCTCCGTTTATGCCTCTGAAATGATTACTTGTGGGGAGTTCGCTTACTCCCTCTTGTTTCCCTAGTGATTCTCAAAGGGCCTGGACCCTGGTAGGTTCTCAACAAACGTATTTATTCTAAATCTGAACGTGCTTCAATGAAGGACCAGGGCTTTGATGAGAATGTCTCTGGTGAGTTTGAGTGAAAACTCGGGACTCCTTCAGAATCCCTGCTGAGGCTCCTGCTGAGTTGCGCAAACCCCCTTGGCTTCTAAAATCACAGAAATGAGAGCTTAGACCTCGGAGGTGGAGCCACCACCTCCCCTGCAGGTTTAGATGGGAAGTCTGAGCCCCAGGGATGGGAAGGCTTCCCCAGATCCCCACTGCAAGTTGTTAACACTTCTGGGGCTGAAACCCACGTCTCCTGTTCCAAGTGACTAACCTGCCTGTGGAAAATAAGAGGTGAATTGAGGAAGTCCAGAATTGGGGACCCTTCCTGAGAGGGGGTGAAGGTTGCCACTCTGGCCAGGCTTGGGGCTGAGTTGGGTGACCTGGTGGGAAGGCTGGGCGAATTGGTTGGGGGCAGGGTTTGTAGATTCTTGGAACAAAGTCATTAGGGATGAAAGGCTCTGCCATCAGTGAGGGCTATTGGCCACTCTGTTCCTTCCTGGCAGGAAGTCCTAGGCCTTGAAAAGCCTCCTCCCACTTGGGTGTGTCATCAGTGGGTTGTTTACCTGAGATTTTATAGAGCTTTCAGGGTCCCTGAGTTTGGTAGGGACTTGTGTGTCTCTGAGCTTGGTGAGACAGGGGAATTGCCACCGCAGCCACTGCTTCCATCTTGCCAGCACAGTTTTGCACGTGCTGGTTCTTTGTGCCAGCGTTCTGTGCACTCACCCCCACCCTTACTCTCCCTCCCTATGTGACCTTGGAGGTCCCTCACCTTCTGCACACAGTGGACTTGGAACCAGCTGAGCTCGATGGAGCCTTCTAGAGCATCTGAGCTTACTGTGTGAGCTGAGCCTGCTGGAAAGGGGCCAGGGGAAGGGGCTGAAAGGATGTGGCCTTCTCTTGTTTCCTGTGCCTGGGCAGTGGGTGAGAACAGCTGGGCTCCAGAAAGGAGTACCTGGCCTGGAGCCCAGTGATGCGGAGAAGCACCAGGCCTTCAAATATGCCAGGGTCCTGGGAAGCCCTTGAGGAGCCTCTCTGGAGAGAACACCTGCAGCTCCTGAGAGAGCACTCCCTCCTGGCAGCAGAGTGACTGTTGCCCCCCTGGACCATGGAATATAGGCTGGCTGACAGTGTCAGCCTGGCAAGGGGAAGGATTGTGGGGAGGGTGTTATGGACCCAGGATGAGGGGTTTCCTCGTGATAGGAAGGCTGTGCAATCCTGCTGGTACTCAAATGGCTTCCTGGGCCTGCTGGTCATACCCATGTTCTGATGGCAGTGGTGGGGGGCACAGGGGGTGATGCACACCAGGTCTGACTGGGGCACTTGGTGGCATCCAAAGAAGACAGGCACCAGTAGATGTGTAAGGAAGGCGACTGGGCCTGCAGGATGCACCTCTTCCTCCGAAGCTGTAATGACGTTCTGAGGAGTTAGGGGCTTCTCGGTGTGTATAGTGAGGAGGAGGGAGGTGGGTGTGTCTGCTGTGCTCTGGCCTCTTCTGATCTTCCTTGCCTGAGACTCCTGCAGCTGAAGCAGGAAGATGGATGGACATGAGAAGTTCAGGCTGCTTTCCCAGGCTGAGGCCAGCAGACCAGCTTCTCCCTCCGACTGGACACCCCCTGCCCCTTGCAATTGTGCCATCCACGTTGTGCACAATGCGAATGGTGTCCCTGGAGTTGTACAATCCAGTGACCCTGGGTGCGGCTGCCACTTGATCCTTGAGCCATTTGTTCACTCACCCCTGTCACCCTCCCCCACTTCCCTCTGTCTTCCTTCCTTCTTCCATCATTCATTCATTTATTTAATCAGATCTTTGAGTGTATCCCTGCCACATGGAACTTAAGGTCCACTGGGGAATACAGACATTTGTAGATATAATTACAGTAAAGGTCTGTGAGAGCTGTGACAGCCACTCTGGAAACACCCAGCAGGAAGAGATGCTTCTATAGGCAACTGGCTGGGACTCCTTTGGGCTGAGTGTAAGGAGTAGGTCTTGCACGGGGCCCACCCTCTCCAGGGAACTTTGTCTGTTCTTCTTGCTCTGGAGAAAACGTGTGTGGGATGGAGGAGCAGGAGGAGAGGGCGGCTCCCAGGTGTCCCCCACTTTCCAGTTAAGGAGCGTCCAGGGGCCCCCACTGCTGGGAGCCACCCGCCCTGCCCATGGCCTGACCCAGCCTGACCTCCCATCACCTACGCCACCCACAGCCACCCAGGGAGCCCTTCTCTGGGCTGGTGGTTGTACCTGGAGCCCATCCCAGGAGTTTCCTTCTCTGCACCAACTCCCAGACTGGCTGGCTGTGCTGTGCCCCAGCCCACCTGGGCACTCACCATGTTCCTTTTTTCCTGAGCGTGCTGCCCATGACCTCTCTGTTGTCTAGGTTACTCAGGATTTTTTTTTTTTTTAGTATTTGTTAACTTTTTCTTCTAAGGACAAAAACCCTAACTGAATTTTAAGCCTCTTAAAGGCACATTTTAGCACCTTAAGAGGAGTAGGGTTTACTCATCTTTCCCTGTCCCCATCTTCGGGAGGGTTGTGCTCATGAATTCTCTCCTTTTGAAAATGATAAGATTATCCTCGCTGTGTGAGATTTGCTGATGGCCCATCAATAGATTAAAAGCGAAGGCGGCTTGGAAATGGGATTCTTCATCCTGACACCTGCTGCTTTCTCCAACCAGAAGATTTTTTTTTTACCAGCAACACTTAAGAATCTTTCACAGACGATTGGATCCTTGAGCCTCGGCCACACACCACTCACAGCTTATCTCACAGAACCTGAAATTCCCATCCCCACCACCACCTCTGAAGACATGGGAAAGCAGTAAGGCCACCAGAGGAGGGAAAGAAGGGCGTATCCAAACCTGATGCTGCCAGAGGTGCGGGGTGGATCACCAAGCTGCCCGGTGCCTCAGCTGCTTAGCCTTGCTTTCTCTCCTCCCAAATTCTCTCTCATCCTCAGTGTCTGGAATGAGAGAGGGATCCTTGGATGTTGCGAGTGGACCCAGAACCTTTGCTTCATTTGCTTATAGAGGTGTGTGCGAGGTGAGAGAGAGCATCAGATGGACACCAAGATGAGAATAACCTGTACTTGGTATAAGAAAAACATGGCACCCCCAAAAATGCTGATGACAGAGACAAGAG